AAAAAAAAAAAAAAAAGTTTCTATATCCGTATTCCAATCACTGTATCTCATCTCAGACTGGTAATAAAGAGTTTGTGGATTGGCACCAACCTGTAGACCATACTTGGCATAGCGCTGGCTTAGAATTTAGCAGATAAGTGAGGACAGGGAAAGTGAGAGGAAGCCAGTGATTGCTTAAAAGAAAAATAGTCAACATTGAACATTGTTGAGTCCATGTGATTCTGTTAAAGAAAAAGAGAAAATGAGAGTGAAGAAGGGCAGGGGAGATATATACCCTCTCCTCACTTACCTAAATGGTTAGATTCCAAAGACCAGGTTATTATGCAAACTAGTCATTATGCAAAAATAGAGAATGACCAGATCAGCTCACAAATGCAGGATAACTGTATCACTGCATAACTGCCAAATTACATCACTACATAATTGCCAAACCACTGAGAATTTCGTATCACAGCCAGAATTACTCTTGCCTCATACCTTGGTATTCGTTACTACCAGATGTATGTCATGAATGTGAAAAATAGTCAGATAGTAGGTTTTTTACTGTTACGTGTAAATGCAAAATGTCAGATAATGAGGTAGCTGATAAATGAGGAGTAGATGTAACACTCAAGGATAGGAGTTGGCAGATTTTTGGTGTAAAGGGCCAGATAGTAAATAGTTGTGTTCCAGTAACACAGTGAAACCTGTGTGAGCTGGAACTCAACAGAACTGCCTTGTTTTTATAGATCTTACATTTTCCTCCTTTGTTAGGGTACTGTCCTACTACTTTTCTATTGCTTGGTTTAGTGGAAAATATTTGAGTTTTTCTTCTCTGAGAAGTTTGTGCATTAATGCAGGTTCTGGTTTTCGCAGGTTTTACTGTACTTAATTCACAAAAATTGTCGGTGGGCTTGATTTGGGCTGTAGGCTGTAGTTTGCCCACTCATGGTAGTATGGTAGTACCTCACAGTAGATTACTAATATCTTGAGATATAGAGTATCAGAGACAAGTCTTTCCTGCTGTTTCTTAATATTTCATTGAGTTATCTGCCCAGAACCTGGTGTCTGGCTAACTCCTTTCTGGTCTTTGATGAGTATAACACAAGATCTTACTCATAGTATGCTTTCAGAAAATGTTTGATGATGCTGTACAAATGTCTGCTCTCTTTCACAATAGATACACTGACCACATTGATCTAATCCATTTCCTGTTTTCATCCTGAACTTGGTCCATCACCTCACAGGAGACTCAGAGGTTCTGTGAGCAAGTCCGTGTTGCCATCGAAGGAATTATTGCAGTGTACTTCTCGCTTCCGAAGGATCAGGGTAAGCAAGCCACTAAGTACACAAAAGTTCTGTTTATAGAGTGGAACTTTACTAGTATGACAGATTATGTCCTGAGACCTTTACCCTTACCCCAATTTGAGAATGTAACTTTCTTCCATAAAACACAGTTGAGAATAATTTGATAACATAAGTGACCTCTATCAGCAAGCATGTGAAGCTGTGGTGCTATATTCCCTGTGACTTCCAATCTCCCCTACTTTGCCTGACTGTAAGGCTTTTTTTAATTCTTCTCACTGGTTCTTCCCTCTCTAACTCATTTTAACCACTACAGCTGCTGGATGCATCTTAGCCCTAAACCCAGGCCCATGCTATCCCCATTCTCCTTCAAACATATTACAACACTTCCTCTTTCCAACCAAGCTCCTGTATAGGTTAACTGTGCTCTGTCCCTGCCTGTAGATTCATGCCTTTACAAAAATATAAATGAATACATGTCATGGGTATTCAGGATTACCCATAAATGGTTTAAACTTCTAGTGTTTCATCCCAGTTGTCAGGGGACTACTGTCCTTGATGAATGAATACCTGCTGTTATAGAAAGATTTGTTTTAGATCTCTTTAGGAGAGTAGCACTAAGGAGTGGTAGGAGGGATAAGAAAATGACACAGGGATATAAATAAGACCTGAGTTTTATATTAGGCACTCCAGTTAAAGCATGTGAGTACACATTACTTCATGGTCCTGTAATGTTTAGATTCTTGGGAAAGCAGATGGTGATTTCTGAAAAGAAGACCAGGGCTGCTTCATCTTTGTGTTTGGCCATAGGAATCACGTTGCGAAAGCTTGTACGGGGAGCCACTCTGGACATAGTGGATGGCATGGCTCAGCTCATGGAGGTGCTTATCATCACTCCTGCTCAGAGGTAAAGATGCCACAGGTTGAATTATCACCTAATAGGGTTCCTTGCCTCAAGGAGGGAAATAACAGCAAACTTACTACAAGCTAAGAATAATGGCCAGCAGGAAGAAGTTTTTTTAGGAGACAGGGGCCTAGGTCATTCATATATCCATATTGATTCCTCTCTCCAGCCCCGAGAACAAGGACCTTATTTCCTGCAACACTGTCTGGATTGCCTGTCAGCAGGTACCTCGGATACCAAGAGGTAGGTGAAGGTAGGAAGTGGACCATTGACTCTGCTGGGCAAAGAAGAAGAGACCTCTTCATGTCTAGCTTCCAACTTAATGGCATGCATGTATTTTAACTGACATAAGGATTTTGGTGAAATAAATATTGCGTATTGCCATCATCACAAGATAGGTATTAATACTTTTTGCCATTCTCTAATTCTCATATTCCAAATTCGAACACTCTTTCTGTGGCTCTATTTCTTGTTGAATAGATGTGGTTTGTTTTCCTAGTCCTGCCGAGGAGCAATATTTTGAAACACATTGAAGCAATTGTGAGGTAGAACCAGCTAGGTCAAAAGCAGTGTTTGTCCAGGATGACCATCATGAGAAACAGCATGGGATCTTTTTATTTTTTTGCAGTGTATGAAGAAAAGCTTTTTAGCCTCCTGTTTGCATATCCAGGGATGTGTGTGAAAAGAATTTTACATTAAACCCCATTACCCCATTACCAGTCAACAAGACTGTCCTTGGCACTCCCTTCAATGGTTGTTCTTTGCAGTCTTAAAAGAGTTGTTGAGTTTTTCGTCTAATTCTAGTGTTTCTGATTTTTAACTCATAGATAACAAAGCTGCTGCCCTTTTTATGCTGACAAAGAGTGTGAATTTTGTGAAGGATGCATATGAAGAAATGGAACAGGTGAGGGGACTTCTATCTTTGCTGGTCATTGGAAGGCAACTCAGTGACTAGTAGACGAGAGTTGAGTGTAAAGAGAGGAGATATCTTGAGTATTGACCAATAGGTCCCATTCTCATACCTGTTCTCTGTCTTCCATCTCTCCTCCATGTTGATGTATAATCCAGTACTACTCTCCTCCATTCTATTGCTGGACTAGGAGAGGGAGAGAGCAGGGTTTATAAAGTGATAAAACCCTATAACCATTACTGAAGTAACTGACTGAGGTATTTTCACAACTCAGATATTATCTGAACATGTTAGAGGCTTTTTATAAAAAATTTTTATTCACATATATTATCATGTGTCTTAGGCTGTAGAAGAATGTGACCCTTACTCTGGCCTCTTGAATGACTCTGAGGAGGACAGTTTTGGGAATGGCCATAGGGTGGACTCTGATGACCATAATGATGGTGAGGAGGATGCATTGGGGTTTCCAAGCAATCAGGACATATACTGGTCAGAGGAAGATCAGGAGCTCATAATCCCATGCCTTGCGCTGGTGAAGGCATCCAAAGCCAGCCTGAAGAAAATCCGGATCTCAGTGGCAGAGAATGGGAAGAAGGACCAGGTGGCCCAGCTGGATGACATTGTGGATATTTCTGATGAGATCAGCCCTAGGTAAACCTGACCTCCACTTGAGACATCTGAGCAGCAGCATTCTGACCTCAGCTTGTGCTGTCACCCCAAGGCTTTCCCCAAAATTTTTATTTTCAGAATGTTCAAACTTACAGATAAGTTGAAAAAGTACTGCAGTACCCATACATCCTTCATCTAGATTCACCAGTTGTTCAATATTCTTCTGTATTGCTTTGTATTTTTAATAGATAGATGTGCTTTTTTCCCCTAGACCACTTGAGATAAGTGCAGACTGTAAAAATGGCATGGTGGCGTCAGACTTCCTATTCTTCCTAGTCTTCACAAGGGGAAAGAGAGACAATAAAGATCATCATACCAAGGGTGATTCCTCTGAAGTGCAGTTCAAACATACCTCCACCCTCAACCTTTTTTTTTTTTTTTACCAATTCTAACATCACCTGTCCCTCCTACAGCACTCTGCTCCTTTCCTGAGTTTGATAATTCAGATAACTCCCACACAAAACTCATAGGCTATACTTAGAGTTATAGGGTTTATTAGAGAAGCAATATAGGTTACAATTCAGGATCAGGAATGACTCGGGATACAGTTCTTCAGTCAGGACAGCTTTTTGGCTGTGCCTACAAATAGGGCTGTTGGCTCTTGGCCCCTCGGCCCCTCTGCCCTACTCAGACAAATGTTACAAAGCTCTTTAGCTCTGCCAATAAGTGCCTGGAGGTACCCCACTCAGCCAATAAGCCTTGGCCCCTGGGTGTTTAGCTCTTTTGTTCCATGAGTTGGCTACTGTAGGTCTACCAAGTACCTAGAGGCACCCCACACCACCAGCAAGCCCCCTGCCCAGAGGTGCTCAACTCTCTTGGTCTGTGGGTCAACACACCCACTGTAGCCACCTTGCTGCGTGGGCCAAGAAGCGCACTGTGCCGTGTCATGTCAGTCTTCTGGTTCTGCCATCATTTCTCTGCCGCTGTGCCATGTTGTGCCATCTCACATCATCTCTGTTGTTATAAATCTCTGTCCCCTGAGTCTAGGCACTAGTCCCCTGAGTGTAGGGACCCTGGGTCCAAAGGACATGCTCTTCTTGGTGGTAGTGAGATCCCCTCCTCAGCCTCTGGGATTGATTCCTGCTAAGCCTAGCAGGATGACGAAACTGACCAATCCCCTGCTTAGGGTTCCATATACTTTATTTTCATGGTCCCACCCCCACAAGGATTCCATGCACCTTATTTGCATCATTAGCAGGCTGCCCAGTCCCCTTGGTGGGGCACAAACACCTTATTTGCATAGTTCTACTGAGTCATTTTTTAAGAGCTATAAGACCATGCATGGCTAGAAGGGCCATATTAAAGTAATTGACTACAGCAAACAGACATCAATGGCATTTCACCTGTAAGTGCTTTAGCATGTATCTCCTAAGATTCTATATGACCATAATTTCATTATCACATCTAAGAAATTTAATATTAAATATAATATTTAGGAGCTCTGGTAGCATAGTGCCTAAGGCACTTGACTGCTAACCAGAAGGCTGACGGATCAAACCCACCAGCCACTCCT